ATCGAATCGGCCAAATAATCATTCGGTCAATTTTTTACCAGATGTCCCAAAATTTATGAGAACAGCTGTAAAACATAAAAATTTTTTTTAGAAGTTTTCAAATTTTGACCCGGCCGGGTTATGAAAACCAATTAATTAATTTCACATGGCCTAACTAAATTTAATGAATTTTATTTTTTTTTTGATTCTACGGGTTTATAGAATTAAACCAAAAAAAAAAAGATCATTAATTTGGTTTAGTTGTCGAGATATCTTCGCTCAAAGTTTCAAAAAATTTTTTAATAAACTTTAAATGTTTTGAAACTTTGAGCGAAGATATTTTGATAACCACTTAACCAAATTCGATGAATTTTTTTTTTATTTTGATTCTAAATATCTGTAGAATCAAAAATAAAAAAAAATATATTTAAATCTGATCAAGAAGTTACTGAGATATTTTGCTCAATAACAGAAAGAAAATAAAACGCACCTATGTTTTTATATATTTTTTTCAAGTTTTACAAGTTTTTTATGCGTACGTATAAAATTTTTAGCACAAATTTTTCCTGTTAGGGTTAGTATTTAGTGATAGAATTAAAGTTTAGGAAGATTTTGGGGGGGACGTAGAGCAATTTTACTTAGAGTATCGCATATTAATTAATTAGCCAATTTTTAAGATAATGCAACATAGGTGCGTTTTAGTAAAAGAATTTACTGTATATCAGCCGCCTTAATTTATTAATATTACATTATATAAATACGTTTTGATAAAAAATTTCATGTTACGTAACCACATTTTTATATAATGTGCTTGAATATTACTTTAGAGGATATAGCATATATGTATTTACAAAAATGAATAAACACTTTTATAAGAGTCTACGTATCATGAAGCCAAACATTAGGGTGCAGGAAGTTACATTAACCAATATAGTAATGAAAAGATTACCTATTATTCTAACTTTAAAGAAAACATTCAAAATTATTCGATAAATAGTATTTATGTTTTAACACCATCTTGTTATGTATAATTTCTAGTAGTGTTCAATTATTATATTTATCACCCTACACAATGTAAACCTTGTTATCCAAATAATTATTCGAAAAAGTTATTTTATATAAAATAAAATACAATATAAAAATTGGGCTATATCAATAAGTTAAATGGCAATTCAAAACAAGGAGATCCGGGGCATGAAGTTCTAGAACTTGGAGATTGATCTTTACCCCTTTTTGCCTGTTTCTTTAATGGGGTATTTTCAACCGAAATTAAATAAAAATTGTCTCTTATTTTATCTACGGCTTTATTTACTGCTTTAACAGTCGATAAAACATCGATCTGTAATAACAAAATCTAGTTATTATAAGTATCCAACTAGACATCTACAAATATTTCGTCTCTTTACCTGCCAATTCATTAATTCTTTTATATCTTTTGCAAATTGTTCAAAGTCACTAAAAGAGGCAAGTATCTTAGTGCGCATAAAGCATTGAAGCATATATACAGATAGAAATAGTCTAACTAAATATTTGATTTCAATAAATCCATCTATAAAAATGCATATTAAATGTTATAAATAATCAACTTATAATACATATTATTCTTGTTATAGTAAACTCTTAATATGGAGAAGATTCGAAAAAACTTTGTAACTGGTTTTCAATTGTAATACTTACTGAAAGATTGTACAGTCAACCCTGGCTATAATCACACTCTTGGGACCATAAAAATATGTGATTATAACAAGGGTGTGATAATAAAAACAAATTAAAAT